GGGCTTGATCACCAGCCGGCGGCAGCTCATTCGAAGTCCTAGTCTCCCGGAGCCTTGCTCATCTGTGGTAGTGAGCTTGAGCTAGATGGCAGGTGTGGAGACTTCTACAGATCGGATACAATACAACTCAACGGAGAAGAGAGTTGGAGAAGAACACCGATTCAATGTGCAACTATTATAGAGTTAGCAGGCCCAATGTGAAAAGGTAGATTTACCTCTAGTCCAATGTGCAAACAAGGTAAAAATATTAGTGGTCCAATATGCAATTCACTCTATATTTTATAAAAATGTTTCATATGAATTTTTTATGTATTCATATATATATATATATATATAAGGACAATTATTAAAATATCCAAAAGCATCGCTGTAACATTTACAAATTATATAGTGAAACATAAGAGAATACTTATCAAAACATCTAAATAGCACTAAATGCAACATTTATAAAAGATGCATTGTAAAAAAATCATCGAAATATAATGACGTAGGATCTTGTTAAAAAATTTAATTGCGACCAATTCAGAAGTACTCCTGCTATCTAGTATTTGTCTCTGTCATGGGCCCCATGGTTTCGCTTATTCGGAAAATAAGCGAAACGGTATATTTACAAATGAAAAATAATTTGTGGATAAAAATTTTATATACGTGTTGTGATCTAAAAGCAAAGACTGAAAAATAAACTTCAATGAAAAAACATCAAAATCAACTCCAAATTTAAGGTTGAAAATTTAAATTTTGACTGATAAGTACAAATATAATCGAAAAGATGGGGGCCCTAATACTCTAGCAGAGGCAGATACTAGCCATGTCCGATTCTTTTTCCCCTTAGGCTCGGGCGTTGGAGGGAAAGTATTCTCCACGTAGTTTTACACCTATATATAAAGTCTTAACCATAAATTTATTATATTTTAGTCTAAAAAATAAAAATTATGTCACTTATAAATGTATAAATATGTTAGAATTTTATTTTTGTTTTTGCTCTTTAGGTATGATGAATTTAAATATAAGACTTTGCACATATACGTAATACTATATCTAAAGCACATGCACATTTTTTTTTCTAGAACTTTCAGTGGTATTCATTACTTGGTGTGCACGGTTGTGTGCATGGGCATCCTCTATTTCTTTACTTAACCCCAATTAGACATGTTGAAAGCCTCTATAGTGTGTTATTAAGGGGGATGTCTTTTGGATCATCCCAAACGGGAGTTGAGTTTGGACTTAAATTTTAGTAAAAATATCTCATACCAATACCTATCTCTAATAATTTTTCATGAATTTAAAAAAGAAAAATAGGTCCGATTTTCATGGGATTTCACTTATTCTATGGTTATCGGTAGATATTTCCCATATTTATTGTCATTATGAATTCTATAGATCTAGTCTAGAACTATTTTTTAACTAACTCTAGAGTTGGTTAGATCCAAAAGTAAGTCTGTGTACACGACATCTATAGATCTTGACCTACTTTGGATAGTGATCTTGATGAGAATTAATTTATCATGAATAATTGGACTTCTTAAGATTTGTACATTAAGTTTAATTATGTACTAATGGTAATATTAGAATCAATGGTATTAATACTGTCAAAAAAAGAATCAATGGTATTAATGAATATTTACCAAATATTAATGGTACTCTTTGTCAGTGCACTTAAATATATGGTACTCCCTCCGTCCCATAATAAGCGCAGTTGTGGATTTCAGTGCCTAACTTTAACCATCCATCTTATTAGAAATATTTTTATGATTAGTATTATTATTATTATTATTATTATTATTATTATTATTATTAGATGATAAAATATGAATCGTACTTTATGCATGACTTAACTTTAAAAAAAATTCATATTTTTTTAAATAAGGACAGTCAAACGTTGAGCATGAAAATTTATGGATGCACTTATAATGAGACAGAGGGAGTATATCCCGCAACATTAGGAAACACTGTTAATCATATAGAATACTACTTTTATGCAAAGGATACTCTCATATGTAATGAAACCAACACCTGCTTCGAAAAAGGTAAAATCTAATTAGGAAGCAGAGGGTAAAATCTAATTAGGCCCGGTTTAGTTTCCCAAAAAATTTTCACATAATATCACATCAAATCTTTGGACACATGCATGGAGCATTAAATATAGATTAAAAAAACTAATTGCACAGTTAGGGGAAATCGTGAGACAAATCTTTTGAGCCTAATTAGTCCATAATTAGTCATAAGTACTATAGTAACCTACATGTGCTAATGACGGATTAATTAGGCTCAAAAGATTGTCTCGCATTTCCAGTCGAGTTATGAAATTAGTTTTTTCATTCGTATCCAAAAACCCATTCCGATATCCGTTCAAACATCCGATGTGACACCCAAAAAAATTTTTTTTGCCAGAATTTTGAGGCTTCGTCGTCCGGCTCCTCAAAAATTCTGGACACCAGAATATCGAACCATGAACGCGGAAAGGCACGAGAGAAATATTGGCTAGAATATGATATCTATCTAATGTGATATATGGAATATATGACAAAGGTGGAGTCTTAGAGTATTTCGATCGATCGGTCATATAGGCCTGAGTCAGACATCAAATAGCTTTGACCCTGCATAGATTAGCCATACAGGCTTTCCAACCCACTTTAGTAGAGGGGCGTACTATTTGTTTACACCCATTAGTGTGTAAAGGTTTCAATGCGGATTTTGATGGGGGATCAAATGGCTGTTCATCTACCTTTATCCTTGGAAGCTAAAGATGCCCTAAGTACACGTGCACTGTTTAGACTTACAGCGTGACCCTGGTGTCCTTTTTCCGATTCGAACGTTTTTATCATCCGTGCACAGTAGTGGGTAGTGTGTTGTCTAAATATTTCTCTAGCTAGCTATATACCAAATAAGACAATGGCTAGTTATATACTCCCTCCATCCCATAATATAAGGGATTTTGAGTTTTTGCTTGTACTGTTTGACCACTCGTCTTATTCAAAAAATTTATGCAAATATAAAAAACGAAAAGTTGTACTTAAAGTACTTTGGATAATAAAGTAAGTCACAAAAAATAAATAATAATTCCAAAAAAAAAATTTGAATAAGACGAGTGGTTAAACAATGCAAACAAAAACTTAAAATCTCTTATATTATAGGACGGAGGAAGTACCAAATAAGGTAAATGGTTGGTACTGAGGGCCAACACTAATCTATTTTTTTCTTAATACCAAACCTTTTGCAGTCTATATATTTTAAACCATGCATTATTTTTAAATTCCGTTTAAACCATCATACTCTTCTTAAAATATATGACAAAATGTACAACATTAAATATATTCAAATACTTGAAAGTAATTTATTTAAATTATGGAAGTAACTTAGTTTGAAAAGAAGTAACTTTTCATAAAATAACATTAAGTTAATTATATAGGAGTGAATTGAAAATAAAGAACTACGTGAAGGAAATTCACATATAAAATATGGGAGTACCTATACATTTGTCGACAAATTTTCTCTTAAAAATTTGTCAAATGTAAATACAATATAATTATACTGTAATTACGTTATAAGTATAGAATAATTACACTGTAACTTACATGTAGTTACACTGTAACTATAGTATAACTACACTGTAACTTTAGTATAACTACACTGTAACTTATATGTAATTACACTGTAACTATAATATGACTTGCATGTAAGTGAGATGTACCTTTAGAAAACTTATGTTTGGCACTGCTCACGTGAAAGAGGGATTACGAACTCGCAATGTCTGTTTGTACGATGCGTGTGGAGGCCATCGTTCATGCATGCATGTTCGGCTATGCCCTGCCGCTTTATCTCTGCCCTTCGTCTGACATCTACGCGTGCATGAGCCGCGCCATTGCCGGCAGCCAGCGGCCCTCGAAAGAAACAAATCAAAGCGTTGACGCAAAAGCACGAATCCCGAGGTTCATCAAGCGGGTCAAAAATCGATAAATTCTGAGGAAGAAATTTGTCAACAGATTTATAGCAAAATCGTAAAATATAGAGAAGATTCATAAGTGAATACATAGACTTTCTTATTTAAAGTAATCACTATATTATTTTACCTTATATAAGAACTGATATAAGAAGTAACTCTTCATAACACTAAAAGTAACTACGTTGTTATAGGGAAGTAATTATGAAAAAAGGAAGTAACTTTCAATGGCATAAGAGGCAACTACACTGTTAAGAAAGTAACTCATGAAAATATATATTCACTAGTAATATATATTCATAGTATTAGAAGTAACCACACTGATAATTTATTCACAGTATTAGAAGTAACTACACTACAAAAGCGAAGTAACTCTTTACAGTATTAGAAGTAACTATATTGTTTCATGAAAGTAGCTTTTCGGTACTAGAAGTAACTACACTGCTATATAAAAGTATTTTTGCGTTTGCAAAAATATAAAAGTAATTTTCATGGTACCTGAGACGGAGAGGGCTCGTTTGGATGGGCCGGAATTCTGGCCCAACCCATTTACAGTAAAACTTGAGGAGATATTTCCGGCCCAATTGCTAATTCATTTCTCCTCCTTCCCATTTGCATCATTTCATACTTCATACTGGCATATGCCACATGATTACAAATATCACTAGTAGTAGTCCTCAGAGGAACAATTTTTAATCGCTCGAGGCAATGCCTACTCATTTATTTAAACACCATTTAAATTGTTATAGAAAATCTTAAAAGAATTGACAGTATTCATGTGACATACCTATACAACATCACAAAATCTTACATCTAAAATCAACTCAGACATAAAAACAAAAGACACATTGAAAAATTAAAAAAAAAACAGATTCAGTGTATGAATGAATCCATTCGCCGTTATATCTGAAGGAAAGTGCACTGCTCTTCAATGTCATTGTAGTGCCTCGATAGTCGTCGTTATTGCAACTTGCAAGGGCTAATACGTCTATGGTTTATAGCCGAGTGTTAGTTGCAATGTGTTACGATACCATATCAGTATATCACAAAACAACGAAGATAACATAATGATGATACAATATATCGTGAATTTGTGCTGAACAACAAAGATACAATCTCCTAAACATTTAACATGAGTCTATAGTTATCTCTTTATGTTTATATGATTAGTATGTACCAATCATTTTAGAAATTAGAACAATTGTAGCATACGACATTGTGTTTGATCACTGAATGACAGCTACTACCATTTTACAATTTCTACGTGTGCGCGTGCTTTTGTCAATCGTGACAGCATAGCGTCTTGATGATGTAGTTATCCATCTCCCTGTCGAATTTTAATTCTTTTGGGTTGCAAATCTCATTCCTCTTTCCTGCAAACCAGCTCCATTTGCTCGAACGATTTCAGTGTTTTTGCCAACTGTGACACCGACTTGTGGCCACATCCTGATGCCCAGTAAAAACCATTGCAAGTCAAGACGCTGCACGATGAATGGTCTCTGGGGTTGGTTGACAAATGAGAACCGGTGACAACGAATGCTGGCCGTGCTCAGTCAGTCTGCTGGACCCCTTCCTACATGTGTCACCGTTCTTCAACACAACGTCTGAAGTTTGAACATTTTTTGTGTTGAACATTGTGCTTCTCTGTCTTCATATGTTGCAGGAGGAAAGATGGAGAAAGTGCTGAGAGTAGCCATGGAGGTGATGAGTCGGCACCATGCTCCCGATAGAAGCCTGTGCTTACTGTTACTGCTGCTGTTCTTGCTTCTTGGTGTGCCCATGGCAGCGTCCACCGAACAATCGCCAGCGCGACTGAACAAGGCACACGAGGACATCATGCGAGATATTCTGAGCTCGGTGGGCAGTACCAAGAACTGGAACACCTGCTCAAATCCATGCCAATGGAGTGGTGTTCATTGCTCTTCAGTTGCATCCTCTGCGTTTGTCACTAGGCTATCCCTCCCCGGATGTGGCCTCTCCAATGCCACCATCCTTGCGTCCATATGCAATCTTCATACCTTGCGATCTCTTAACCTCTCGAGAAACTCGTTCACCGATTTGCCAAGCCAACTCTCTCCGTGCCCCATGAAGGCTGAATTGCAAGTGCTGGATCTCAGTAGCAATATGCTGTCTGGTCAACTTGGTGATTTCGTTGGTTTTCACAAGCTCGAGGTTCTTGATTTGTCCTCCAACTCTTTAAATGGCAATATAAGTACCCAGCTGAGTGATTTGCCAAAACTGAGAAGCTTGAACCTTAGTTCCAATGGTTTTGAAGGCCCAGTCCCTACAAGCATCGCTACCTCTCTGGAAGACCTCGTGCTCTCGGGTAATAATTTCAGTGATCATATTCCAATGGGTTTGTTCAGGTATGGAAATCTTACTCTGTTGGATCTCTGCCGCAATAATCTACACGGTGATGTCCCAGATGGCTTCTTGAGCTTCCCAAAACTCAGGATTTTGGTCCTTTCAGAAAACAACCTGACAGGAAAAATTCCACGGAGCTTGCTGAATGTCACCACACTGTTTCGGTTTGGAGGTAATCAGAATAATTTTGTTGGCTCAATTCCTCAAGGAATTACCAGGAACATTAGGATGTTGGATTTGAGTTACAACATGCTCAATGGTGATATACCCTCTGAACTGCTCTCACCTGATACTTTGGAGACCATTGACCTCACTGCAAATAGGCTTGAAGGGTTCATCCCTGGGAATGTTTCTCGGAGCCTCCATAGTATTCGGCTTGGTCGAAACTTGCTCGGTGGAAGCATCCCAGAATCAATAGGCAATGCCATTGACTTGGTTAATCTTCTGTTAGATGGCAATAAGTTGGTTGGATATATACCTTGGCAGCTCAGCAGATGCAAGAACTTGGCACTCATCGATCTGTCATCAAACCAGGTGCAGGGTAATATACCTATTGGGCTGGGCAACCTTGAGCAGCTCGTAGTCTTGAAGCTCCAAAAGAACAATCTCAGTGGAGATATCCCAAGTTCATTTTCTGACATGTCAGCCCTGGAAATACTTAACCTGAGTCATAACTCATTCACTGGAGAACTACCTTTCACAAATTCTACTCAGTCACTGAAGCTCTGCTACTTAGGTTTGCATGGCAACAAGCTCAATGGTGTGATTCCATCGTCGATCAGCTTGCTGCAGTCTCTGATCACCATTGATCTGGGGAACAATGAGTTGATTGGAATTATCCCCACAAACATTGGAACCTTTCTGAAGTTGGAGCGTCTTGATCTTTCAAAAAACTACTTGTCAGGTCAGGTGCCATCCTCAGTTGCAAACCTGGAAAGATTAATGTGTCTATTCCTTTCAGACAATAACCTTTCCGGACCATTGCCTGAGCTACCTAAATGGGTGATGGTCAATGTAACTGGAAATCCAGGCATCATACTAGACACGGAAGAAAATAGAACTTCAGGCAGTATGAAAGGCTCCCAGGATGATTTCAGATCAGCTATATGGGTCGCAGCAGCTTCTTTTGTACTTGGATTCAGCTTGTCCTTCTATTGGGCTGGACCAGGGGAAAAATTGATGCCAAGGTTGGAGACTCTTCACTGTGACGATTGATGATCATTAAATCCATACCTGTGTAGGTGACAAAGTTGATCCATGTATTAGTAATAGTTGCAGATACCTTCAAGTCACTACGAGATGTACTAGGTGACATGAAAAAGGATTAAAGGCCATTATTGTATCATCCTTAATGTACAAATGCTGAGGTAAGCCTAAGGTTGATTTGCATAGTCCTATTGATAAACGGAGGTGGCTGTTTTTATAGGTGGTTATTTTCAAGTTGCTTTGGTTACTGAATTTTTTCTTGAATTTATTTATGCAAATATTGAAGTCTTTAGTTCTTTACATTATTCATTCTGGCTGAATCATCACAATCCAGTCACTATATTAAACCCAATTTTTTATTGAAGCATTGTTGGTGTACCTAGCCAAGAAGAATTAATTTGGTAGAGTTTATGAGTGAGCAAGTAGAAATATTAGAACCAAAGCAATACCAAGTTTAGGAAGGAAAGATCAAGAAAAGGAAGTAGTTTAGATTGCGAAGAGCAGCCTCAAATTTAAGAAAACGTACAGTTCACTGGAAAACATGTTCTTTGTCTTCTGTAGATGACAAAAGTAGTAGCAGGATTTTTTAGAAGAGGCTTTGTCCTATACGCACCAGCCATTTCCATTCATTTCTGTAATCAGGCCTTCTCCGAACATAAAAGGAATCACAAACACCACATTAAAATAATTCATGAACGCGGATTGTGCTGTGTCTGAAGAGCATGTGCTTCATTTTATCAGATAGAAACAAACTTTTGCATCTATCCTAAACATGTGCATCACTGCATATCAAAGGGTGATTAACAGAGTAGTATGAGTTGGGCCAGCAAATGTTCACTGGAAGTGCTCCTAAGGCAGTATGAGTCTGGCTTCTCCATCGTTCATCTCAAAGGGTGATTAACAGAGTAGTATGAGTCTGGCTTCTCCATCGTTCATCTCTAAGGCAGTTTCTTTTCAGTTTTCACAAGCCCTTGTCATGTACGCTACCACCTTTGGGATTGTTGTTTGGTCAGGAAGCCTTGTTGGGTTTGTTTTACAGCGGAATATGATGCACTTTGCTGAACGATATGAATATTCATCTGTTGTTGGTTGCATTGTACTACTACACAATTCTTCAGCCAAATTATTGTCATAGTAATCAACGCATGATCCACAGATATGTTTTGCTGTAAAAGGGTGTATCATTACTTCTTTAGTGCTTGTACCGTGTGCAGTTGTGCATCAATTTCAAGAACATGGACTGCTTAATTAACTTTTGTCAGGCAGGAGGGCCATTGCTGGTTGCAACTTACCTTGTTCTCAGAATGGTTGCAACTTACCTTGTTCTCAGAATGGTTGCAGCTTTCTTTGATCATTTGGCCTCCCTTTATGCATTCATCTGCACAAGCACAACACAGGATAGAGAAATAAGTGGTGACTGATGAATGAGGAAGAGCAGCAACGCAGGGGGGTTAGGCGGATCTGATGCATGGTCACGCCGGCCGCCGGCGTGGGCCGCTCCGAGGCTGCCGGTCGCCGGGGCGGAGGCGCCGCCTCGCTGACGAGAACCCGCGGGCGCAGAGCTGGGAATTCGAGAGATTTGTTGCAAACCTGATTACGAACTGAAGCTTTGGTTTTCTCTGAATCTTCGGAGGTGGAAGACGCGGAGGGGCGCGGGGAGGCGGATTTACACCGGAGACGGAGGAGGCGGCCAGCACGCGGCGACGGCTGTAGTGGAGTCGTCGCCGGAGTTTGGAGCGGCGGCGGCGGCGGTGGATTTCGCTCCGAGGAAGGAAGAAAGATGGGCTGCTTGGGCTGAAGCGGGAAACCTGAAACTTGTTAGCCCAGAACGGGGAAGCGGCCCACGTGGTGCCTATACTAGTTGGGCCCATAACGGGATTGCGGCCCATCCTACTTGGGCTGGAAGGAGGAATTTTTTTTATTTATAATTTTTTTTATTAAAAGTTTTACAAAAATAATTTTCCAATTTGAAAATTGACGGAAGTAGTCGCCTACCGCCCTCTGGGAGGGCGATTTAGAGGGCGGCGAAAATGACGTGGCAGACGGCCGTTCGCTCTCGGGCGACGGCCGTCAACGAAATTTGCAGGCGGCCCCCTTGCCGCCCTCCGCTAGGGCGATTTTATACTGTGCGGGGGGCCGCCTGCAAATGGGCGGCGAGGGGGGCATGGAATTTTGCAGGCGGCCCCCTTGCCGCCCTCCGCTTGGGCGATTTTGTACTGTGGGGGGGGCCGCCTGCAAATGGGCGGCGAGGGGGCATGGAATTTTGCAGGCGGCCCCCTTGCCGCCCTCCGCGAGGGCGATTTTTGCCTCACCCCCTATAAAGCCCAGTCCCTCCTCTGTAAAATTTCATTATATTCACTAAAAATCCAAAAAAAACGAAAGAGAGAGAGGGGAGGGCAGCAGAAGGGGAGCGGCGAAGCCCTGCTGGTTCGCTCAATTCATCACAGGTATGCTCCCATACATCTTTTGCATTTGTACTAATATGTTATGTTTGAGTATATATGTTGCGTTTTAGTTTTAGTTCCATATATTTTAGCACATCTGTAGCACACAGCACATATGTGTAGATCCAGAGCATAGAATATAATAGTATGAATTGAGACATAGACAGTAGTGTTAATTATAAGATGTAGTTTAGTTTGATCTGGAGAATGTAACGTAATTTTAGAAATTTAGAGAACAATATTGTAGAGAATGTAACTTAGGGCGTAGTACAGAAATGCGAGGTTAACGCAGTTATTGTTTTCATCAGGCACAATGTCAAGTAAGGTCACATTTCAGATAGTTCACGGTGAAGGAAATATTAGATTTGGTCCAGATGGTGTTGATCTGTCAGATTTTGTAATGACATCTAAGGGCATCGATAGGCCTGCGGAGAGAACATTTCAGTCAATTTATAGTTGGTTGTTGAGAGGATTTAGAATAGACCAAGAAGTCTACACAATGTCAGTGTCAGTTGTAGTGAGTCGTGCAACAGAAGGTTATTTTTGGGAACTAATGCCGATGGACAGCACTGATGCTTGGAGACGGTATGTGGAAATGGCTTTTGAACGGTCATGGCCCCTCGTTATATTTGTGTCGGTACAACAGAAAGATATAAATGTTTCAATGCAAACCGAAGATGTAGAGGGTTCTATCAATGCAGGGGATGTTGTTGGACCATCGATGCAAAATGAGGAAAATCAACCAAGGGAGGAGCAGGCTATGGGCATGGCAGATGAGGGGGAGAGAGTCGGTATAATTGTTGATGAAATGGAGAGGGAAGATTCGGAGCCTCACTGCCCGCAGCGTGTGATGAGACAGTTCGGACTTAGGCAGGTGTTTCCGGGCAACGTGCAGCCGACCGTCCTCCCTGCCGACCACTCGTGAGTTCGGATTGTTCATTTCTAAATTTTTATGATAATTACTTCATCGAGCCATATAATTTACCTCTCTTCACAGGTTGACTCGACGGGGACAGCTAGCAGGCGCACTTTGGGCTCCACGTGTACAGCAGTACGTTGACGACTGGGTGTTAGCTACAGAGGAGGTGATCAACGAGCTCTTCCCACACACGGAGGAGAACTACCGTGACTACCTTCGCTGGTACCTTCCTCGCACTCGTGCGCGTGTGACCTTCACTCCAGACGCCCCAGAGCCGCACGTTGCCGCTGTCACGGACGCGTATCCCACGCACCGTGACCGAGACTACTTCGTGGCGGTACGTCCAATTTGTATTACTTCTTACAATTATTTCATTTATCTTGCATAATATAGGACAACTACTGAATTTGTTATTTCCATCTTGCATAGGCTGATGCCGCACGGGATATCAGTGCCGATATCACCGCAGTCCAAGTGAGGTTGAACAGAGGTTTGCACTTGACTGACGTTGAGCAGAGGGTGACCTTCGACCGGATGCAGGAGAAGATGCGTGCGGTCATGCGCGTCTTCTCCTGTCGCAGCGCCGTGGACGTCGTACCTCCAGCTGGTCCGGTACAACCACGGCCTCGCGCGCCTACCGTCGGAGCAGGACCTCGACCTACGGCACCTATTTCGCACGGTACTGCTCAGCCCAGAGGTTTCTTAAGTTTTGTTTCTGTTTTTGTACGAAAACATCACCCCGTCGTAACTTGATGATCCATCCTCGCAGGACCTCGTTTGCCTTCGAGCGCCCCTAGCTTCGGATCAGTGCGACCTACAGCACCGGTTTCGCACGGTACAGTTCAGCCCAGATATTACTTCATTTTTGTTTCAGCTTTTGCACGATTATGTCACCATGTTTTAACTGCACGTTTCCTCATCGCAGGACCTCGTCTGCCTTCGAGCGCGTTCGTAAGCACGACCGGCGCTTCCACGAGCTCCGCAGGGGCGTTCGCCACCTCTTCGGGCGCGTTCGCCAGCTCTTCCTCTCACGGAGCGTCGATCCCTCGCCCACACGGTACTTTACTTTTTATTAATACTGTTAAATACCTGTACGAAACTGATGGTCCTTGTCCAGCAGGATTTGCAGCCGGGATCTTCGGTACTGGGGCCTCTTCGTCTCACGCCGGTAGGACTGGTCCTACTAGCCAGTTCTACGACGACGACTTGCACGGTGCAGACCACCACGACGTACTAGGCTCCTCTCAGCTTGGAGGAGCTCCAGAGGCGCACACTCAGGAGCAGCCAGAGGTCACACCTGTACAGGCAGGACGGGTTGGCCGTGCCGTACCCCCGGACCGACTCACGTACTCCCACGGGCACATTAGGGCGCAGGGTAGGAGGGACAGGGGTAAGAGGCCTCGTCAGTAGTGTTCTACCTCTTCAGTCCTTATGTGACCGTTTCTTTTGGCTTACAAACTTGTAAAGCAGTACTACTTTTGCTATTACTACTGCAGTACTACTTGTGTTTGTCTCGTCTACATAGTTCTTTTCATTCATATGGTGCTAGAACAACTTATGCTCACGACAACACACTTTCGGCGCTGCACGGTAGTGTCAGATCCAGTAGCGCGCACAGTCCACAACAGCACACATGAAAAGCGGCAGCTCGAGTTATCACTATCAACTTTCGGCGCTGCCTGTTTACATAAAGTGAATCACGCCCACGCGTGATCGTCTTGTCACATCTAATGAATAATGTATCTCATTGAGTTCACATATATTGCAATGAAAACGACGTTATATAATTGACAATCTGAAGGCAACCTCTTAATATTTTCTTTCCCACTAGCACACAACACACGAAAATGGAAGCCTATTCATTGGTAATACGTAATCTAGATTTGAGATTATGTAGAACATTCTTCACTACAATTTTACATTTTGGCAGCAAACCAAATATGATCAAATGCAATTTTACCTTACCAAATATTTGGTCGTGAAGAAAAATTTGGCACTAACAATCCAAATATGCCCTAAAAATTAATAAAATATTTGTACGGTAACAAAATATTTGTACGGTAACAATCCAAATATGCCCTAAAAAATAATAAAATTGTATTTTACCAGTCTTGGAGATTTTAATCTTGTATAGTTTTCAATATAAAAAGATTTGATAACTATTGATATTTATACAAAAATATAGAGCACAGTATAAAATCGCCCTCGCGGTGGGCGGCAAGGGGGCCGCCTGCAAAATTCCATGCCCCCTCGCCGCCCATTTGCAGGCGGCCCCCCGCACAGTACAAAATCGCCCTCGCGGAGGGCGGCAAGGGGGCCGCCTGCAAAATTCCATGCCCCCTCGCCGCCCATTTGCAGGCGGCCCCCCGCACAGTACAAAATCGCCCTCGCGGAGGGCGGCAAGGGGGCCGCCTGCAAAATTCCATGCCCCCCCTCGCCGCCCATTTGCAGGCGGCCCCCCGCACAGTACAAAATCGCCCTCGCGGAGGACGGCAAGGGGGCCGCCTGCAAATTTCGTTGACGGCCGTCGCCCGAGAGCGAACGGCCGTCTGCCATGTCATTTTCGCCGCCCTCTGGGAGGGCGATTTGAGGGCGGTAGGCGACTACTTCCGTTAATTTTCAAAATGGAAAATTATTTTTGTAAAACTTTTAATAAAAAAAATTATAAATAAAAAAAATTCCTGGAAGGAGAGAGCGGCGGAGTGCGTGCCCATACTAGTTGGGCCCATAACGGGAGTGCGGCCCACGTCTGGCTCATCCTACTTGGGCTGGAAGGAGAGAGCGGCGGAGTACGTGCGGCCCATACCAGTTAGGCTCGGAACGTGGCTTTTGATGGGCCCATACCGGTTCGCTGTCTGCAAGAACCGGGTGTTTTCCGGTGATCATGTCAGCGGTAGCATTCCCATGTATGGAAATCTTCCTCTCTTGCATATCTCAACTGCCTCCGTCCCAGAAAAATCTAACCTAGGCCTTTTTTTTTTTTACCAAGAGAGTAGTGAGCAATGAAAGTTCTAACTTTTTTTTTAAAAAAAATGTTCCTCTCTTGGATGACCTCAGCCAGAATAATCTACTCCAGTTGGTGACGTCCCAGACGGGCTTCTTGAGCTTCCACAACTCAGGATTTTGCTCCTTCCATGAAAGGGCAACCTGACAAGCAAATTTCGTTTGCATGTAAGAAAGAAGACTTGAGGTACGACATGATTACTGGTGCCGAATTTTTTTCATTAAAACAAAACAGAAAACAAATTAAATGAATAAGACACGCATCCCCATATCTAAAAACAATTTGAGCTCTAACTGTGATGGCGGGTAATCATTTTCTATCTAGCCTCCTCTAGCAGCAACCAATAGAGGCCATTGCTTCATTTATCAGAAGGGTGATCTCATGCACCATATTCGATCAGTTTTCATGGCAGTTTACATCAGAAAAAAAAAACTCTGGACGGATCTGATTCTGGTGGGTACAGAAGAACAAGGTTTTCTACTTTTCCCTTCATTAACTAATAATTTGATAGATTTTAGAGGGATGCAATTAACAATCAGCATTGGTCATTTTCTATTCCTTCTATGATGCCTAAATATTTCCCCTAGGGAACACTTAATGTTCAGACTGAAAATATCAGGGTAGAGTACATAATCCCTCCTAAGTTTGCAAAGCTACAACAGTTTATCTAGAAATACAGTATTGTAGCAAAGTAATATTTCATCGATCACACCCTCATAACCAGAAACCATATATTGATAAAAATGTAAACTACAACCGGCATTAATTGCTCAGCAATGATTATTCAGTTTATTTAACATTTGACCACCCAATTTCTCAACTTATACTGTAGATGATAAGTTATCCAGCGCCAAGTTTCCAGAAGCGATGCATATTTAGTTTAGTATGTAACGCTATTAGCATCTAGTAATTCTAATGGTCTTAGCAACTAATAACTCTACACGTTAACAAGGATAGAGAATATCCTACGGTTATAAATATGATCAGAGCAGGATTACTTACTATTTAATTTATTTCTGCTTTTGGCTTATGGAGAAAAAATCAGTTAGTGGTGAGATGATCTCCTCATACCTGATAGTATGGAGTTCTTTTGAAAAGGTAAATATTGATATCATCTTTATGGTGCCTTTTCACCCGTTTCTTTGCAAGTCATCTCTTATCTTGACCGTTCCTCCAAACCAGCTCAAATTATTTCAGTAGCCACAAGCCCAGTAAAAAGGGACAAAGGCTAAGCCAGTGCTGGTGTCAAATGTGATGCCGACGGCCACAACATCCTGAATGGATCCATCTGCCAGGTGAAATCAGTGCAAGTCACACTGAACGGTGAGTGTTCTCTGCTCTGCTCCATTCACACGCCATAAAAAAATTTACAGTGTCACACAAGGTAAAGTGGTGAAAGCAAACTTTTGACCCCTTCCTGGATGACTCTTTGGCATTTCCCTCTAATGCAATCTCTATATATGTATAATTCACAACTTCACATAAGCAACTAACTGAAAATTGCACCAGTGTACTTCAGATGTAACCAGTCGATATCTTGAATCGACAGAGTTGCCGAGGAGAGTGGAGAGAGAACTGAGAAGTAGCCATGGAGGTGATCAGTCGGCACCGCGCTCCTGCTAGCAGTAGCAGCCTGTGCTTGCTGTTTCTGACCTTTCTTCTGAGCGTGTCGATGGCTGCGGCCACCGAGAAATCGCCAATGCAACTGAACAAGGCACAAGAGAACATCATGCGAGATATCCTGGGCTTGGTCAGTAGTGCCATGGATTCATCTCTCACCAAGAGCTGGAACACCAGCTCAAATCCGTGCGAATGGAGTGGGGTTCATTGCACTTCTGCTGCATCCTCTTCTTTTGTCACCAGGCTCTCCCTCCCCGGATATGGCCTCTCCAATGCCACCATCCTTGCATCTATATGCCTTCTTGATACATTACACTCCCTTAATCTCTCTAGAAACTCCTTCACTGACTTGCCAAGCCAATTCTCTCCTTGCCCCATGAAGGCAGAATTGCAAGTGCTCGATCTCAGCTACAATAGGCTATCCAGTCATCTTGGCAATTTCTCCGGTTTTCATGAGCTAGAGGTTCTTGATTTGTCCTTCAACTCTTTAAATGACAACATAAGTACCCAGCTGAATTATTTGCCAAAACTGAGAAGCTTGAACCTTAGTTCCAATGGCTTTGAAGGCCCTATCCCTACAAGCATGGTTACCTCTTTGGAAGAACTGGTGTTCTCCGGTAATAATTTCAGTGGTAGAATTCCGATGGGTTTGTTCAGATATGGGAATATTACTCTGTTGGACCTAAGCCAGAATAATCTAGTTGATGACGTCCCAGATGGCTTCTTGAGCTTCCCAAAACTCAGGATTTTGCTCCTTTCAGAAAACAACCTGACAGGGAAAATTCCACAGAGCTTGCTGAATGTCACCACATTGTTTCGGTTTGCAAGTAATGAGAACAAACTTTCTGGCTCAATTCCTCAAGGAATCACCAAGAACATTAGAATGTTGGATTTGAGTTACAACATGCTCAATGGTGAGATGCCCTCTGATCTCCTCTCACCAGATAGTTTGGAGACCATTGACCTCACTGCCAATAGGCTTGAAGGGCTCATTCCTGGGAATTTCTCTCGGAGCCTCTACCACCTGAGACTCGGTTGCAACTTGCTAAGCGGGAGCATCCCTGAATCAATAGGTAATGCCATCAGATTGGCTTACCTGGAGTTGGATGACAATCAGCTAAGTGGACCTATACCCTCACAACTCGGCAAATGCAATAACATGGTGCTCATGGATCTGTCAACAAACAAGCTGCAAGGTGTTGTCCCTGATGAGCTGAGAAATCTTCAGCAACTTGAGGTCATCAAGCTCCAAACCAACAATTTCAGTGGATATATCCCAAGAATATTTTCTGGTATGACAAATATGGAAGTACTTAACCTTAGTGCGAACTCATTCTCTGGAGAGATACCTTCAACATTGGTCCTATTGTCCAAGCTCTGTTATCTCGATTTACATGGCAACAATTTCAGTGGTGTGATCCCACCTTCGATCAGCTCTCTGCAGTTTCTCAGCACCCTCGATCTCGGGAACAATCAGCTGACAGGAACCATTCCTACAATGCCAACCAAAATCGGTGCTCTTATACTAAGTCACAACCATCTCCAGGGGTCTATTCCATCCAGCATTGGAGCTTTAAGTAACTTGCTGTTACTTGATCTTTCAGACAACCACTTGTCCGGTCAGGTGCCATCCTCGTTTGCAAACCTGAAGGGATTGATCTACTTGTCTCTTTGCTATAACCAGCTCTCTGGCCCCATGCCTGAGTTGCCTAGAGGGGTAAAGGTTGATGTATCTGGCAATCCAGGTCTCACAATATGTACAGAAGACTCTGACAGTCAATACAATATGGCTAGCACTGAAGATGACTTCAGGTCAACTACATGGGTTGCAACAGTTTCTTTTGTAGTTGGCTTCATCATCTCCTTCTATTGGGCTGGTATCAGGAAGTATTGCTATTGATGTTTCTTATGATCATAAAGTAGTGTCAGTGGGAACACGATAACAACTCAAAACCTAGCTGCATATCCCTGCAAGTCACAAGTAGAGGTATTGTAAGTTTATAGATCATGTCAGAGACAAGACTATTCTCTCACAAGTAGGGATGGATTGTACATGAATGTGTGTGGAATAACAAATTACTGATAATAAAAATGACCATGCTCAGACCGGGCTTTACCTCATTGTGCTAGAAAGGGTGTTACTCTTTCACATGAGATTCACATGAAAAACCATGTCAACATACTACATAGATTCACGATAATCAGAAACTATTTCAGTATGGTGTTTTTTCTTAAGTTCCTCCAATGTCTGTACCAGGTTGCAAGCAAACACTTCATACAAAGGTACGGTCGCACCTATGGCAATCAAAATATCCAAAAAGTGTAATGATTTCACGAAATAAAATGCTCTAAAAATAGAAAAATGCAGAAGAGCAATATTCAACTAAAGTACTAAACAAAGTCCCCCTTTTATCTTTTTCTCTCTTTTTTTCTGGAATAGTTTTGCAGAAGTCTATTTCAGCCAAAGTAGCAAAAAAAAAGGCTACTAATATAAGTACAAAACCTTACATGCATTGCATGCTTATATTAATAACCTTATAACATAACACTTGTTGGTATTGCACTATTGCTGCATACAGGTTAGTTGCAATTTTTTGCTAGCAACAACAGAATAGAGTAATCTATCACTGTCAGCTGCAGGCCTGCAGCCATCCAAAAATTTGGAACAACATGTCCTCCTGACCACCAAGTGATACTCATGGTCAGGTAGTCAGCATTCACATTTGTGGATGAGCTGCCGTGCAAGTACCATCAATTCAAATGACAGTTACAGGGCCAGACAATGCTTGGTATGGATTGGAATTTCCATAGTTCGAAGTATCCAAATCAGCACCATCTCGCGCAGATTCAAAACAAAATTCATAGCCAGGAAACCTAGCTAATTTGGCCAAATGCAGCACGCACCAGAGAGCGTTGCGCAGCAGCGGCGCCAGCGAGTAGGGGAGCAAGGAACAATCACCTGTCACATTAGGCGAGCACCGGAGACGAAAGCGTCCGGGCAGCCGTACGCCGGCGGAGGCGCCGCCACCCGCCGCCTCGTCGCCTCGTCGGAGACGGCAGATGCAAAACTAGAGAAAGACAATGCTTTCCGTAACCCTTAGGCGAAGGCGGAATTGAGTTTCTGAGGAAGGCTTCCTTGGGCCGAAGCGATGCCGCAGAGTATGTGAGGCCCATATAGGTGGGCCCGAACGGGATAGGGGAGTACGTGTAGCCCAGAATAGTTGGGCCTAAACGGCAGAGTGGAGTATTTTAGGCCCATGTATCCTGGTGAACGAAAAATAAAGGAAAAAGTACACCGAAGGTCCCTGAACTTGTCATCGAGTTACCAAAACGTCCTCAAAGCGCAAAACCAGATACCCTGCGTCCCTTAACTAATCAAAACCAGTCACAAAAGGTGCTTCGGTGGTTTTGACCTCGGTTTTATCAAACGTGACGGCTGAGTCAGCGTGAGACCCACGTAGACCCCACATGTCAGGATGCCACGTCATCTCTCTTTTTCCCCTCTTCTCTCCCTTCCTCCTCTCTCTCTCTCTCACTCGTCTCTCGCAGGCCTGCCGACAGGTGGAGAGGAGACCGACGGGGTCCGGCGGCCGGCGAGACCGGACGGCAGCCTGCACAGCCATGAGCCCCATCCCGAAAGCCATCAGCTCCTCCGGCGACATGCGGCCCACATCCGCGTCTATCGGCGGCCACCTCCCCGCCGCGCGCTCCATCTCTATCTTCTCCTCCCTCTCCCGCCGTGCCTTGTGCGCCTCCACCATCGCGCACAGGTCGCCGTACGCTCTAGTTGGTGATGTAGCGTGCGCAACTTATGGCTCTGACTGGATGCATATACTCCAGCGTGATTGATTGGCGATTGGCACCAACGAGAGCGTAGCAGCCGGATCAACACGCGCACAGTCAAGATCTGCAATTCTGAACTTCTGATGAAGTTCTGAACTGATGAATTAAAATTATAACAGGGGAATCTCTCTGCTACTCGTAGTACCCATCTAATGGCCTGGTTGATCTCTGTATTAGGAGTATCTGAGTATGATGCTAGTACATCTTTCCAGTGATGAGTGATTGAATGATTGGCTAGTACACATACGCGCCCATCTGATCTGATACGGCCAGCAGAATCCATCCATCCAGAGGCAGCACCACAAACAAAAGGAAGCCCATATCTTTGTGTTCTTCATCGTCCTGCACCTCACTCAATCTCCATTTAGATAGCTGAATTGAGTGATAGACGATTGCTGGATCATCTGCAGATTTTACAAAGTTGCGAGTAAAATTCAGTTGTAATCTGAACTAGCTACAATATTCTCCTATCTTAGTGATGCAGTTTGTTGTCTCGTCCAAATTCGCAGGAGATCGCTTCTTAATCTGCAAATTCGTGGTTAGCGGTTAATGTCTTATCAACATTTTCTTGCTCCCCGACCATCCCACCACCATTCACTCCTCGCCGCACCCGCGTCGCTGGCGAAGACAACGACTCCTGCAAGAATCGCTCCAGGAGGCACTCCACATAGGGGTGGCCGAAGGATTAGGCCTTGCCGGCGGGGGAGCAAGCGCGCCCGCGTAACCGCCAGCGGCACAGCAGCACTGCTTCGCCGGCGCCCGGCGGCTCGTCGACCTGGACCTCCCAGCCGCCTCCGGAGGCTGCACCTCGCCGACGTGTCGCTCGGCGGCCGCTTCGCCGATCAGGTCCCGTCGCGGCTCCCCGTCCTGGAGGACCTGCGGCTCAGCCGCTGCGCCACGGGCTTCGCCGAGATTGTGTCGCGGACGCTGACGAGGCTGATCATCCACGGCAGCGGCGGCGAGCTGGCCGTCACAGCTCCTCGGCTCTCCTCCCTGTGCCTCCTCTCTCGCTGGCCTCCGCCGTAGGCCTCGGAGCCGCCGTGCTTCCCTGCTTCAGCCGCGCCGACCTCCTCCTCTCCCGCCGCAGAGAAAACTGAGAGAGAGAGAGGAAGGGAGAGAAGAGGGGGAGAGATTTGACGTGGCATCCTGACATGTGGGGTCCACGTGGGTCCCACGCTGACTCAGTCGCCACGTCGGATAAAACCGGCGCCAAAACCATCTAAGGACCTATTATGACCGGTTTTAATTAGTTGAGGGACGCCGGATATCTGGTTTTACGGTTAGAGGACAATTTTGTAACTCGATGACAAGTTGAGGGACCTTCGGTGTACTTTTTCCAAAAATAAATTGGTATTGACTCAACTGCCAAACGGTTTATTTTTTGAACCAATTTTCTGTAGAAAAGTTGTTTCATACAATCATATTAATCTATTTTTTTAAAAAAAAATAGCTAATGTTTATTTAATTATTTTTTAATAAGTCGATCTGCGTGCGGAATTCCCAATCTAATGAGCTGCCTAAATGTAGAATTAAAATAATGCAACGCACATGCATTTTGCTAGTGAAGGAGAAAAAATGTAAGCTTGTAATCATTTGCTTGCTGGTTTAATCAATGGTTCAGTGAATCCCTCAAAAAAAGAAAAAGGAAAATGATTTAGTGAATCGTTTATTTGAAGACAAAAACGACACAAGAAAATTTGGCAGAATGAGGCATCATCAACAAATTATTTACGACAGAAATATGAACATTAGATCCACCAGTTATCTGTCAAAAAAAAGTATGATTTGATACTTACAGTCCCAGTCAACATATTGACAACTATGTTGGGCAGCAGTTTTATCAGGTAGGTACAGGTAAAAAATAAAAAATGGAGGCCTGATGTCCCTATTTTACATCTTCCTAGAAAAATCAGGTAAGCTCAAATTGCAGCACAACTGCATGACTGCCTAAAAATATGTTTTTTTTTAAAAAAAAAGAAAGTTTAAAGGATGCCACCATGTGCAACTGCACTTCATGTTCTTTTCCAGAACTGGTATTCTGGAACAACTTTCTCTCAAGTTTCAACTGGCTTTAAGGTTGGAACAATCCCTGTTTTCCTCCATATTAGAGCAATCATCATCCAGAAAAGAGTTATCAACAGATAATTTCGTCATATGCATAGACTTTGTAAAAGCTCCACCTCCAGTTCTTCATCATCAAGTTATGTCATGTCTGAGCATTGTGTGAGGCGCCAATTTTCCGAAAGGTTCCTAGCATGTGATGTCGAAGAATTATCTTTATCAGGCAATATTCAAGTCTTTATATCTAACTGGAAAGTCTTCCATTAGGTAGCGATTATCAGCTTTGGGAAGTGACAATGGCAAGGTCTCTTCGTCCACAGAATCTCGGTATTTCAATGGAACGACTTCAATCGAAAACCTATTTTGGCTGGCCGACTTTGAACGACTTGTGGGTAAAGATGGTCCAGTACCTATTTGGAAAAATCTCATTAGACATGATGACATAGTAGTATCTATGAAAATGTGTAAAATGACAGATTGTGGCATACTGTCAGTCATGTCCTTTGTCTTGTGGAGGAGAAATGTCCCAGAAAGGATGGTCACAAAACCACACAGCTCCGTGACAATTTGTGTTGGATTTTGTCGATCCCAATCCTGCACGTAATAAACTATGCTATCACAAATTGAGGAAATAAACTTTCCATAAGGCATCAATTGTTTCTTGAAGACAGCAACATTGTGAAAGAAAATTAAGGTGCGTAGTGCACGGTAACAACATTGTGCAAAATTATAATCACAGCAGCATAGTTAGCGGAGCAGGACACATGTAGAACTACACATTAAGCCAAAAAAAAAAATTGTTCATAGCTTTCTGCAACAAGAAAGTTGAGTGTATAAGGGCTGAATGCCTAATGGAAGTGATAGAAAAAGCTTACCTTAAACATTATCACACTGGCTAAAATTGTTAGTGAAGTAAACATCACGTAATATATTGGTGAGACAACTGCTGTATTAAAGGTGTCCAATGCCTGCAAGTCACAGAGATAAAAGAATTACTATTGCGTTAATGTAATAAGCCCTTATGTGATATGTTACAATAATGGTAGCTCAATAAGCTACATGTTCTGTACTATTGCCCAGAGTGACATTTCAATGCCCCAGTGACGAGCCAGGAAAGTTTTACAGCCTGAAGCCCTGGAAAAATCTAACTACGCTGAGTATATGCTGCAATTCTATTTTCAATCCCTACAATGATATTAAAATTCTATTGCACATTCACCAACGATCCCGGGTGGCTCCACCACTGCTATGCCCTACATATTATTTGAGCTAGTGAAGATTCTTTTAAGGACAGGTGCGATGAAGTTGTATGAATGAGACAAGCTGTTAGAAGATCCCTTAAACTCAAGTTAAATCTCTTCATGTACCTTATTTAGATAGTTTATCTGGGTGCTCACACAGGTGGCTACAATTAGGGCAAAAGCCCATGTCTGAGGATAGAATAACTGGTTCACTCCTGAGAATGTTAACTTCAATGCAATGCCGAGAGCTTTTACACTCATCACCTGTTAAATTCTCACCATCAGATAGAACATGGAATTTAGTTGAAACAACAGTAGAAAAAACAACAAAATTGATTATGATTGGGTCATATATTTGGACAGGAAGCGTACAGTGAGAGATCCTAGAAGAGAACAGACTCCGATGTACACCATGATGTTTGTTTGTCCATGTTGAGGGACAACAAAATATATAAGCACCAGTGCTGCGGCAACTACTATAGCAGCGTAGCAAAGAAAACCTGGAAACAAAGGGAAAACAATAATGAATCAGACATTCAGTCTAGCCCGTGGAACTTACAGTAAGGCTGCTGAGGGCTATGTTATGAACATATTTTAATACAGTAAATACCTGGTTCAGTTGCAAGATCCCAAACTTCCCTTACAGAATCGATGTTGCGCTCCTGTGGAGCATGGAGTACAATTGTGATAGATCCAACTACACAAAGAACACAACCAAGTATGCCAAAGGTGTGTAGTTTCTCCTGCAGAATGGCGTGTGCAAGTGCAGCACTGCACAAATTGACAAAAGATTATGGTTTTGATTTAGCAACTAGATAGCAAAAACAAATTTTAGCAAGTTTCTTATTTGATTCATCTGAAATTACCTGATGATTATACTGAGTGCCCCAAGAGGAGTAACAAGAATAGCAGGAGCAAATGCATAAGCAGCAAAATTTGCAATTTCTCCCACAATCACTGTTCACAAAGGTCATGTAAGATGCCATTAGTCAAGTTTCTTTCCTTAGTGACATTTTTTGTCTAAAAACAAATGAAACAGTAACTTCAGTATATTAGAAAATACACATTTCTGTTCACTTCCAACCAATAAATTCCACCAAATATCTTACTGAAAGAATAACAAGGAAAAACAACAGCCCTAGGAGCAGACAGTAGTAAGAGATATTCATGCTAAGGAGCCATATTCAGGTGACAGGAAACACTTTGCTCCGTACAATCACTTTTCATGCCCCAGTTAAGCTCAAAGGTTCTACTAATATCTAGTCACATACTTGTATCAATGTAATTATCTAGAATATCGTTTTGGCTTCATTGAATTCAGCCCCAATTAAAAATGTTTAGTTTCTCCTAATACAAAGTAACTGTATTTATCCTGATTCTCAAGACACAGAAACATCTTATTACAGGTCTTAGGGAGTTGACAACTTGACATCAACACGAGTTTACATGACCAACTAACCAGGTAACAGACAATAAAGATCTCATCATAATCAAAGTGACATCAATAAGGAAAAAATAATTGCAGGATAATGTTTGAGCAGAGCAAGCTATATGTTAAGATCAAAGGGGAAAAAACTGATAAATCCAATGATAGAAAAAAAATATTGTGCACATAATGTGACAGAAAAGAAAGGAACATTTTCAAGAAGTACAAAATATTGTATAATTTAAAAAGGAATCAAATGTGGCTTACTAGAAATCATGCCTATCCACCATAGAGGCTCCATTAAGTAAGAAAATCCTCCATATCCTGTTTAATGCAAATAAAGAAAACATGTGACCTCCTGCATTGAAACTTGTAGAGCTTGCAACACAATAGCTTATGAAATATCACACGAATAATGAAAGTGCATTGATCTGACATCAATCATTTCAGGTAAGTGCATAAGGACATAGATCAGGTTGAGATGTAAGTGCATGTTTTGTTCATACGTTACCACTAGGCTGTCCTAAAGTAAGCTATTATAGAGTAAAGTATCATAGTAGTTGGTTGGTTTGATAAAATATTGCACATGTGACATCGCTATCATGGAAGTGAACCACTAGCCAGCCAAAAAGATGTAATTTCGTCCTGGCATACTGAAGAACCATATCGGTTAGCCACTAATCGCAGAAGCACCACAACCACCTAGCAATAGAAACAACAACCCGAAATTTGACTTGACTTTACTCTTTCCGCAAACCGAATCAAACAAAATCCACAGTAATCATCCATGACTCGATCAGATACAGCTTACGATCCAGAAATTCAAAATAAGCAAAGCATTGGTACCACAAGCATTGAACATCATCTTGTATAAATATTTAATAATGGAGGACAATTGCAAAAGGCCAAGGATACCACCACAAAAGACAACTTTTTTCCGGACTCACTCATCTTAGTTCCAATAAAAAAAAATCTCACAAGTAACAAATGCCGTATCAAATGAAGCAAGAAAAAAAAATTCTTCAGAGAGTCAACTGATCCTCCTTGCAAGTAAAGTAAAGATCCTTAGACTCGATTAGAACTACTTTTGCAGGTAGAACTTTCCAGCTTCCACGCCCAAATCATTGCAATCCTTTTCACCCGCGAGAAAAGAAAAAAGAGGAACAAATCCATCCAATCGCGAAGCAAAAGATGTCTCTGACAAGATTCACTACTTGAATCAAAGCTATATTTTTCACATCAGCAGAATCTACCCGCCAAAACGGCGTCACCTGTGCCCCCAAAAATTTTCACCTTTTCCCAGCCTCTCTCTCCTCTGACGAGTGACAACCAAATCAAGATTCTAAAGAAAAATTTCCAAAAAATATTTCTACTCCCATGAGAAATCCCCTTGACTCAATCAGACTATCAATTTACTACCCAAGAACAACAACCTCGCCAAATAAAAAAAATAAAAAACCAAAGCAGAAACAGATCCCTCTCTCTCCCACCGAGCAAACCAACAAAGCAAGGAAAGAAAGCTAACCGGAAACCGCGTCGCCATGGAAAGCAAGATCCTCCGCTCGATTCCACTGCCCACGAATCCAACCCAACCCAACCCAACTCAACCCAGCGAGGAAACCGCGTAGACCCTACCCTCCCCAACCACCGCCACCGACGAACCTCACACCGGCGCGCGGGGGGAGATCCAAACACCCAGAGAGCACGCGCGCGCGGGCGGCCGCGAACTCACCAGCGCGGACGCCGGAGTCGGCGGCCCTCCTGAGCCCCATCTTCTTGACGATGAAGCTCGCCCCGATGAAGGCGCTCGACGACACCGCGAGGACCAGCCCCTTGGCGTTGTCGGTGGACATCCCCGCGAGCCCCGCCGCCGCAGCCGCCGACGCGGGCGCCGCCATCGCTGCCGCAGCCACCGCCGCAACCTACACTTCGCCCCCGCCACTGCACGGTTACTACTCCAACGCCGCCGCCGCCGACGAGGAGGTCATGGAGGTGGAGGAATCGGAAGCGGGAGGGAAAGGTAGAAGAAGAAGAAGAAGAAGGTGAGAAGAAGTGGGAATTTTAAGGGGAGGGGGTGTTTTTGCGACGGGGTCCTCGAGGATTCGCTTTATTACCAAATCCTATTCTTTTTTGGGTTAGACAAGTAGTATCCGTTTTTAGAACGGTTTACCTAAATATTAAAAAAAAACTTGTCTAACTCTTCTAGTTTTTGTTGGATTAGGCATTGCATTCTCATCTCAGATCTACTATATGTGTTGTTCTTGTTGTAAAAAATACTATCCTTTTATAAATTATTAAATTATTGCTCGTGTTCGCAAATAAATACTTGCTATAGTTTATTTTATATAAGTACTCGTACAAACGAAGACACCAAAACCACATTGGGAATTGTTTATGTAAGTGTTCGTAAAAGACTCTTGTATGTATGTTTAAAATTACTTATATTTGAAATCAAAAGTGTAAATTTCTATGAGGCAGCTTCAAGCTTATCAAATTTCATTTATTCACCTATATGTCTGCAGCGCGGTATATAATTCTATCTTTAATTATTGTCATAATAAAATCTGTCTAATTCTTATTCCTTGTTTATTTTTCAAAAAGAAAATATACATATCTTATTTAACTCATATAACTGTTTCCTACACATTATTCGTCATCTCAATTAATCAATCACAACATTCTCTTCTTTAATTCATCCGTCTATTTTCGCATCTTAACATATCATCACCATTTCTCATTCAAACCTTAATTTATACTTAAAACTCCTTAAAAATACTCATGTCTCGAAAACGGAGTGAGGCTGTGTTTGCAACTCCTTTTTCCCAACCCATCTCCCTCGTTTTCCGCGCGCACGTTTTTTAAACAGTTAAACGGTGTGTTTTTTACAAAAAGTTTTTATACGAAAGTTGCTTAAAAAATCAAATTAATCTATTTTTTAAAAAAAATAGCCAATACTTAATTAATAACGCGCTAATGGACCGCTCCATTTTCCGTGCGGAGAGAATAAGTTCTCAACCACCCCATGCGAACACAGCCTGAGTACATGACATAGAAGCACTATTCGTATCATACACGCTACATATGCATCCGGAATTCTAGGAGGAACTGTGGTAAACCTAATTATTGGGATTGGTCACCATCTAGTAGTACTTAATATGACTAGCACATGTTCACTTCACCGGTGGGACTTTACTACTACGTGAAATTCCTCCTCCTTTCACGTTAAATAAACCCTTTACAATTATCGCCACGTTCTCCTATCTTATATTAGCAAAAGTTATTATACATTGCATTAGAGAGAAAAAAAAGTACCACGAATAACAAAGTGAGTTTGTTAAGTTTCTTGTGATGCAATCAGTCTATCCGGATTCAAGTTATTGAGTTGATACGGATGTTCGCATTTACAGATTATTGTTTTTCAGTGGTAAACGACGTAACCATCGACAACGAGACACCCATAATGACGTCATTAATCTTAAAATATGCTGACCAATTTTTCGAGCGCATTCGTAAATTTTAGGATATAATATTTCGTTCTTTCCAAGATTAGAGTGTGTGTGTGTGTGTTTTAACATATATGAGTGAGTGTGCGAACGTGAGTGCGTGCGTATATGTACGTGTTTTTTATTAATACTGTGAATAAGTAGTATAACGAGTCCTAATTTCACAATACCGAGACTCCCAAGGGACCAAAACGCAAAGAGCCCCCCGAAATTCCAGGTGAATCGAAATAAATGTGTTTCGGATGGCAGGGCGTGTCAGAACCCACCCAACCACGCGGCTGTCGCGTCGTCCGATCCGTCTGTCCATCACCGCATCGGACGGTGGAGGCTTCTCCCAGGAGAGGCCGGGGTGGCGTTGGTACGTGGGGACGGTTGGTCTGGATTTTTCACATTTTGGTCCTTTTAAAAAACTTATTTCACAAATAGACCCCTAAAAAAACTTATCCCAGAAATGGTCCTTTTTGGGGCGCCAGAGTGGCTGGCGCCGTCATCCAATGGGACGGCGCCAGCCTCTCTGGCGCCGTCCTCCTGCCAGCATGGCTGGCGCCGCCGCCTCCATACCTGTTTCCCTGTATGGAGTTGCAACGGTGTCATTTTTATTTTATTTTTTCGGATGTTTTTTCACACTCAGGATCACGATACAACCAACCACAAAAAAAAATTAAACTCGAACTACCACTTAGCTAAGTCTGAAAATATCTAGCATACCACTTAGTCTACTTTGCACCTTCACTAAAATTAGACCATAACTCTTTTAGTAAAACCCTTTGATCAGCATGTTAAACATAATGCACTCTACCACTATATGAAATTACTTAATCTAATTCAAAATATAACCACATGAAATGACATATATAAGTTAAACAGTACATAGAGATGCAATTTTTTTTATTTTTATTTCATTTTTTTGATATTTTTTCACACTTAGGAGAACATAGGAACCAACCGTATAAAAAATAAACTCAAACGGACAAAATATGTGATATGTAGAATTTTTCAAAACTCTACCGAAATGGACAAAATATGTCATCTATTAAAATAGGCATAACTTTCTCATACGGACTCGGAATCAGGCAAATAATATATGCACGGACATCTACAGAAAAAGTTACATCCGATTCTCCCCGCTTTGTCGGGTTCGGCGATATTAAAACCTCCAAATTCCGCTTGCAAGATTGTGTTTTCGAGGAGAGAAGTTTTTCGGTGGAGCTTTGAAAAATTCCATATGCCACATATTTCGTCCGTTTGAGTTTATTTTTTACATGGTTGGTTCTTGTGAGTTCCTAAGTGTGAAAAAAATATCAAAAAAATAAAATAAAAATAAAAAAGTTGCACATCTCTCTCCTCTGCACTAGTTCGGAGAGAGGAGAGGAGAGGAAAAATTCTACATGTCACATATTACGTTTATTTGAGTTCAATTTTTCTATGGTTGGTTCTTGTGTGTCCCTAAGCGTGAAAAAAATATCAAACAAATAAAACAAAAATTAAAAAATTCGGAGGGGGGGGGGCGCCAGCCACTCTGGCGCACTCCCCTTAGCCACCTCAGCATCGCCCCGCCACGTCGGCAGGGGGACGGCGCCAAAGAGGCTGGCGCCGTCCTGTTGAACAACGGCGCCAGCCACTCTGGCGCCCCAAAAAGGACCATTTTTGGGATAAGTTTTTCTAGGGGTCTACTTGCGAAATAAGTTTTTTAAAAGGACCAAAATGTGAAAAATCCAGGACGGTTGGTTGGGTTGGGACGGGTTCGGGAGCACGTGGAATATGCCCTTGCCCTCCTGTAGTTCTGTACTACCGGATGAAACGGAGCAAGGAATCCGCCACGCTGGCGCCTCCTCTCCATTTTCATGGTGGCTCTCACTCTCCAAGCGAAAATGGATCGGAATTACGAACGCTGATGGCATGATCGTAGCTAGGCCCGGTTTATTCCCTAAGATAAACTTTTCACCCTGTCATGTCATATTAAATGTTCGAATACATAAGAGTATTGTAAAAAAACTAATTACACAAATTACGTATAAATTATGAGACGGATATTTTAAGCTTAATTGCGTCATAATTTGACAATGTGGTGCTACATTAAACATTTGCTAATGATGAATTAATTAAGCTTAATAAATCCGTCTCACATTTTACAGGCGCTCTGTAATTTGTTTTTTATTAGACTACGTTTAATACTTCAAATGTGTGTGTCTGTATATCCGATGTGATATGCCAAAACTTTTCATCTCGCAAACTAAACAAGGCCCTACTACCTTCATGTCAAAATATAAAAACTTATTATCGGATTGAATATTTTGTAGTATAAAATATCTAGATAGAAAGTCTATCCAAATACGTTGTATTAAGAAACGTCTCATTCGGTACTAGATTCTTATATGTTGAGACAGAGGGAGTACGTAAAAAAAACAGTAGCGAAAGAGAAACTCTTACTATTCCCACTATCCTAGTTCATACGTAAAAAGACACTTTTTAGAAAACAAAGGTATTACTAGTATTGAAGAAATAAAATGTCTCAATTTACAACCGAGGATAGTTAAGAGAGTAGAAATAAATTTATTTTGTGATAAATTTTAAATTGTAGGAAACTTATTTTGCAGGATGGAGGGAGTCCTTATCAGATGCAACCAAAACTAAAATTTAAAATGAAGTTGATTTGGGGGTCCTTTTCTTTGTAGTTTATTTTTTAGCATTGGCTTTTAAACTGATAGTAACACAACTTCTACCGATAATTTACTTCACTTGCTAGTCGTAACTCAAATGATCAGAACATCTGTCTATTTTCTTGTGTCTTATTGGTGATGTAGTTTGTGTAAGTAACAAGTTGTCTCTGTTTCATGAGAAGCCATTATTATCATGCTGTGTAACTTCAGCCCCGTTCTTTTCTCCAATAAAAATTGTATAAATTTGGATATTCATGGCACGCTTTTCAAAATTACTAAACGCTGCCGTTTCGTGCAAAATTTTTATATATGGAAGTTGCTCTAAAATATCAAATAAATATATTTTTCAAGTTTATAATAATTAAAACTCAATTAACCATACGTTAATACCATCTCATTTTGTATAAAACATTTCATCTTTATTACGAGTTTCAAACACCATCTTCATTTCCTAATGGATAATCATCCATTTATAAGTCATGGGTTTGGTCTTATACCTACAGACCTTCCATGATTTTGATATTAGAATTATGTTTGATGTACAATTCACATACTCTCTGTTCAAGAAAAAAAATCCAACCCTTATATCCTGAGGTAATTTTAGTTGTGAGAAAAAAAATACTACATAACCCCTCGTTAATAGAAAATGAATATGTTGGATGCGTAGGTGAGCGGTACAGAAGGAATAAAAGTTCTTGATCAATGAATCAATAGTAGGTAAAAATGTAGAAGTTTAAATTTTAATTTTAGGATTGAGTCTATCTGAGACACAAGGAGTACTATAACAGCTGGTTTAATTTGGTACTACAATAAAGAGAGTCCACGGGATTTTAGAGGATTGTTTCTATTACAAATCTGAACGGCTTGATGGTTTTTACTAAGTC